GGCTTTTGCTGCCTGGCTCTGGCAGCTGATCCCTCCAGGAGCCCTCGGCAGCTGCCAGACTGTGAGTGACATGTGTCCATCACCTGCCCAGCAGCTGGGAAGGCAGGCAGTGGAGGGGCCCTGTGGGAAGGAAGGGCAGGGGAGCAGCCTGAGCTGCTCTGTGGGCAGCTCTGCAGCTGCTGGGAAGGGCAGCAGGATGCCCTGGTGCCTCTTCCCACAGAGCCCATTCCCAGCAGCATCCCTGAGCAGCAGCTCATGTTCCCACTGCAGAGCCTCATCTTCTGTGGTGGCCTCGAGCTCACCTGACATTGCTGGGGTGCTGGGCATGAGCCCCAATTCCTTCCAGCACCCACCTCTGCTTGCTCTCTGGATTTGGAAATTCTTCCAAGTGGATCAGCCCTGGGAAGCACATCCCAGACTCCTGCCACACTGTGTCTCCTTGATGTCCCTGCCCAGGGAAGCCACCCCAGGCCCTGCTCTCCCACCCAGGATCACCTGCTGAGGGTCCTGCAGCTCCTCCTGGATCCTCAAGGAGCTGGAGCAGCATCTTGGTGGCCAAATATTTTCTTGGAAAGGCCTCACTTGGGGTTGGGGTGTTTTTTTGGCAGTGCTGCCTCAGCACTGACCAGTTGTGCTCCAAAACAAGTGGATCACTCCCTGTTATTTTTACTCTCAACCCTTTAGCTGGGGCTGCAGGGGCTCCCTTAGCATCTCTAAGCAAAAAAAACAGGCAAAAAATCAGCTCCAGAAAGGCTGGATGGAATTAGAGGTGGTCGAGCTCTGCTGGCTGTCACAGCCAGGGCCTCCCAGCCTTCCCAGCTCAGGAAGGGTCTGGTTTGATAGGACATTGGTGGGGCTGGGGCTCCTGCCCCCCTCCCACACCCAGCACCAGTGCAGCTTCCATGCCTGGCAGCCTGTGCTGCTCCTCTCCAGCCTGAGGATTGGGGCCAATCTAGTAGTTATGTGCTTTGGGGGCAGCACCTGTGCTGCTCACCCAGCCCTTGGGCACTGCCCAGGGCCAGTGGCCAGGGCACCAGAGCAGCAGTAAATTCAGAGGGGACATGGGCAGGGGATGGCTTTGCCAGGTGGGATCTGGCTTGTCCAGGTGGGATCTGGCTCTGCCAGGCAGGAGGTGGCTTTTCCAGGTAGGATCTGGCTTTTCCAGGCGGGATGTGGCTTTTCCAGGCAGGATCTGGCTTTGCCAGGCAGGAATCTGGCTCTGGCAGGTGGGATCTGGCTCTGCCAGGCAGGAGGTGGCTTTTCCAGGTAGGATCTGGCTTTGCCAGGCAGGAGGTGGCTTTGCCAGGCAGGATATGGCTTTTCCAGGCGGGATGTGGCTTTGCCAGGCAGGATCTGGCTTTGCCAGGCAGGAATCTGGCTCTGGCAGGTGGGATCTGGCTCTGCCAGGTGGGATCTGGCTCTGGCAGGTGGGATCTGGCTCTGCCAGGTGGGATCTGGCTCTGGCAGGTGGGATCTGGCTCTGCCAGGTGGGATCTGGCTCTGGCAGGTGGGATCTGGCTCTGCCAGGTGGGATCTGGCTCTGGCAGGCAGGAGGTGGCTTTGCCCAGCTGGGTCTGCAGGTGTCACCTGGAGCCAAGCAGCCCCCGGTGCTGACAGGCTCTCAGCATCCCTGACCTTGCTGGGATAAAATTAGCCATTTCACTTGGAATTAAAGACAGTGGAGCTGAAATCAGCCCGAGTGGTTCATTTCAAAGACGTCAAATGGCAGCGTTTCCTTTTTTGTCTGCGATCGGGGAGGGTCCTGCCAGCCAGAGCCTGGTGACAATGACATTGATTTCCTAGACCTTTTGGTGGGGCCAAATCTGTATTTTTAGCTGGGGAAGAGAGGAAAAAAAAAAAAGTCATGTCTGAATGAAGTGCTTTCCCTGCCTGCTGGGAAGGGCAGGGAGATGAAAGCCTTGGCTGCTGTACCCAGCGGAGCTGCAGGGTTCCCTGCCTGCTCCCCACGTCCTGCTGCATCTTCCTGGGGTCCAGCCCAGGTGATGCCCCCCTGGATGTGCCCCCTGAACCCCCCTCCTCTGGGCTGGGGACACTAACCCCCCCCGTGATGGGGGTCCTGTGACAGGGAACAGGCAGAACCCCCATTCCCAAGGGATCCCATTTCCTGCAGTGGTTTATCTTCCGGGGCAGGTGCTGCCTTCATCTCTCCTTCCCTGCCTCTTCCTCCTCCTGCCTCTCCCCGCCCTGTTCTCATTTCCCCAAGAAGATTGTAATGAAATCTGCCCTTAATTAAATCCACATTCATTTTGCATAATTACCAGGAAATTGAAATTTAACCCGTGGACGTGGCTGGGATACATTTGGCATCAGGCAGCCCTGCCTGTTGGAAGGGGGCGGCATGGGGGGGGCAGCCAAGGCCCCCCACCCATGGGTGCTGCCCCCCCCTCCCTCCTGCCTGGGGTGACTGTGACACTGGGGGGGGACAGGGGGAAGTGGGGGGGACAGTGAACCCCAAGCAGGGCAGTGCCAGGCAGTGTCCCCACCCCCAACAAGCAGTGTCACCTTTTGGTTGGAAAAATAAAACTCTTCAAGGAGGTTTGTTTGGGTTTGTTTTTTTCCTTTTATAACTACGTGTTTTCTCATTTTCATGGTTTCGGTCGTTGTGGTTTGTGTTGGTTGTTGGTTTTTTTTTTGTCTTTTGTTTCGTTTTGAATCCTTTTCAACAGTGACAAACTGAGGTAACTGTGACACTACAGCCTCCTAAGGGAAGAAGGTCCAAAACCCGACAGCCGAGGGAACGGGAAAGGAAAACCCAACAACCCTAAGAACACAGGAACAGAAATCACTCCCCCCCTCCCCCAGTGCCGTGAGTACCCAAGGGGGCAGCACCCAGGGATGGGCACCGCACCCAGGGATGGGCACAGCACCCAGGGGTGAGCACAGCACCCAGGTGGGCACAGCACCCAGGTGGGCACAGCACCCAGGGGGGCACCACCCAACCCTCCCACGGCCGCCCGGGGATCCCTTCTCTACATTATTGCACGAAAAGATCGAGGACATGGAAGGACCTAAGGCAAGAAGGAGACAGGACGGTGCCTGGCGGCTCTACTGGGGGTGATGCTACTTCTGACACCCCCTCCCCAGCCCCCCGGGGAGGGGGGTGACGGGCAGAGGTGGGTGCCAAGGGGACAGGGTGGGGGGCAGCGGCGGGGGGGGGGGGGGGGGGGGGGGGCGGCG